ACCTTTTAGGGTGGTAAATACATGTACAATTGTTTACATACTTAAAAGGAAAAAGTTGAGTAAATTTCTTGTCATATAGTGGCTCTACTTAATGTAGCCTGTATTAATGTGAAATATTTACCAGAATATTCAATAAAAAGATGAACAGTGTTTAGAAGTGGGGTGTGATCCTTTCAGTGGTCATGCAGATAATTACCCAATTCACAATCCTATTGAACCAAGTTGTTAATACTGTATTTCTAACAGGCATCTCACATTTTACACTTTGAAGATCATTTTTAGACTGCCTTGGAAAAGTGTTTTGTAGACTAGTTATCTACCAATTCTGTGTTAAAAATTCCTTATTGTTCTCTTCCATATCATTTCTTAAGTGGGAAAGTTTCAAGCCTCTGCAATTTGTCTTTTGTGACTTTAGCAGATAGGCCTCTGCTGGGGTTAGCTCCTTATGGATGATGAGTGTCAATAAGGACCAAAGGATTGTAATCAGATGACACTGAACAAATTTAGCGACACTCAAATCCTCAAACTTCAGGCTCTTTTTGTGCTTCCTGACTTGTATCTAAAGACTTATTTGGTTTTAGTGTTTTATGTTTTATTTGGGTTGGGACATAGCAGTGGGTGGGAGTGCCTCCTGTAATACTGTGGTATTGTTGGTCACCGGAGTAATCTTTATAAATATGTGACTAATTCTGGGCTTAGTTCCACAGCCCCAAGTATGAAGAGCGAGTATGTTTAACAAGCTAAACACAGAGACACTAGAATGGATTGCCTTGGCCAAACTATAGGTTCTGCCAAAAATCTGATGCAATAGAGAAGGAAAACAACCCTCTGAAAAGAACAGCCATCAACATATTCATGTTTTAATGTAGTGGAATTTCCTGGTTTTATGTATAGGCACTTTAGAAAATAAAACAAGAAAAAGTTTAAGGCTGATAGAGGAGTCACAACACACATCAAGGCAAAGAAGAATGTACAAAAAAAGTAGTAATAGCAGCAGAGCCATATAAGCAGCACTTTTCAATTTTCATACCACCAGGAGTTCTTAATCTTACCTGCCTGGCTTGTAAAGCCACCGCTAAATGAGACACACCAAGTTCTGTGTTAGACATGCCTGGTTCTTTTGTCTTCCATATTATCTTATATATGAGAGCTTCTTTAACCTCATTTCTTGTTTTCTGTTTTGAGTGGATCAGGAGAGTATCACAGATGTTGAAGGTCCTGCTTTTTTAGTGCTTTGATAAACACATCAGTATTCTCAAAAGACCCCTTGGATAACCTATATATCTTGATGTTTCTATTTATCACTAACAATAAAATGACAAAAAAAAATCACCTAATATTAGTGAAATGAATGTGTCCATGAGGGACACAGAGAGAGGCAGAGACATAGGCAGAGGGAGAAGCAGACTCCTCAATGCGGGACTCAATCCTAGAACTCTAGGATCATGACCTGAGCCGAAGGCAGACGCTCAACCACTGAGTCACCCAGATGTCCCAGTGAGAAATAATATTAAGCAAATTATTCAGTGGGACAAAAATGCTTTTCCTGTTTTGACCATCTACAATACATTTGAATTATCTGGGAGAGCCCTTAATTCTATCTTCTGCACCTTGAGGATAACAGAATGAGAAATTTTATCTCCAGTCAGGATCTAAAATCCATGCAAAGAGGGGGCAATTAGGAGAAACCCTTAGAGGATTAGGAAAAAACAGGAGCTGTGCAGTCAGTAGTAGCTATTTAGGATACCCTCCTCCCTGCCTTCTTTTCTTTCTGTTCGGATCCTTACTTGCCAACCCATTTTGCCTGCTATAATCTCTTCTTCCTCTGTCTTGCCTCTTCCTGGCATTACTTTACTGCTCTTTTACCATCCTGAACCTTGGATTAAACCTAGCTCAGGTAAGAACTTAATTACTTTAAAAATATGTGAGGGATATGGGAGGTGGCAGCATGGGTTCAGTGGAATAAGACAAGCCTAAATTCTGTTTTTGTTTCTGTTGTTTGAAGCTTCATGATCTTAGGCAAGTCATTTTTCATTTCTGGGTTTCACTTTCCTCAACTGAAAATAAAATTGAACATAAATGAACCCAAAGAGTCTCCTAGTGCTAACACAGATTTTCTCCTTTTTCTTGTGAATGAGAATATATGAGATGAGAATACTGAAAGCTAATAGAATGTTTACATTACTGAGGTAATGTAACCAACTATCATTGATTCTCACATGGAATCAGAAGCCTGCTGTTGTGTGGGACAGTACTGATTTTGAAATTTTAATAGAGTCAGAAGAAAACCTTGCACATTCATAGTGAGACCTCAGATCATTAAGAAACATCCTGCTGAGGCATAGATTGAACCCCATGAGCATAACAGCTCTTTCAAGGAATACAACTGATATCATCAAGGTTTCTGGACCACTTATTTCAAGTAGTAGTGTAATAAAATTCCACCACCAATAAAATTATTGATGTTTAAGTCCCTTTAAACCTATTGTGGCTACAGTGTGCTGACTTGCCTTTTTATAGGCCAGTCTCCTTCCTTCAGTCCCTGCTCTCAAAGGGGAAATCCCATCACCTCAGCTAACCAGACCGAAGAAGAGAGTTGGACAGCCAATGGTGGCCTCTCCTAACCAGAGGTAAGAAATCTCAAGACTTGGAACTACAATTTTCAACTTTTCCTATAGCTTCTGGCCAAATCCTCTTCCCATCTTCAAAGTTAGCCCATAAGAGAACCATCCTCAGTTTGAGGTGGCTTGTAGAAGGGGAAAGGCTGGTCATATTATAGTTTCAAGCCAAACAAAAAGGAGTAGTTAGTATACTTGATTCTGTCCCACTGTTCAAGACCTTTGGACCACATTGAAAACCCAGGAAGTGGCAAATAAGCCTGTAGGAAAACAGCTTCTGAACATCTTGTTCTCTAACTAGCCCTAGATCTCTTCTACCAAGAAGTGTTGCTGGTTGTGACGTCTTTCCAGTGGACCCTGTCCTGGAATGCGGGGCTCTGAAAACCCCATATTTTCTATTCATCCTTAAAGATTTGTCACCATTTGTCATCAGACAGATTCTTCACCTTTACTTTATTCTGTAGCAAGTGAGTGAGAGAAAGATAGTTTTAAGTATCCAGAATTTATGTGCATTAAGACCACATCCAATAAAGAGCAGAAGACTGGGCTCTAAGTCCTAATTTGGAAAACAGGATCAGCAATCTCACCACCAGACTGCCAAACCTGTTTTGATTACTTTTACCTCCTGCTTTATCTTCATGGTATTGGTCTAAGTCCAAAGTAGTTTGGTAGCAGAGACCTGATATTCCCTTAAGGGCTTAATCAGTTCCCTGGGGTTGGAGCCTAGGCATAGATTTTTTGTTTTCTGTTTTTCTATTTTTCTGTTTTTCTTTTTTCTTTTTTGTGTGCTTGTCTGTATCAAGCTCCCATATTCTAATGGGTAATCAGTGTTGAGCCTCTAAACTCTTGGTCCTTCATCCAAATTGCATGCATGATGTATCTGGCTTTCTCTCTAAGGCCAATGATCTATCACTTGTTCCCTAACCTTTAAAGTACACACAGCACCTCAAAACAAGCTTCAAGTAGCCGTACATAGTAGTGGTAACTGCTGCTGTCATTGTGTAGTAGAGATGAACATGAGAGTGACCTCACTTCCACACTGATCCTTCTTGAAAACTCTGGACACTTCTCAGTCTCCTTTGGTGAATCCTCTTCCTCCGCTACCCCTTAAATAAATGTTGATGTGCTCAGGCCTCTTCTTAGGCTGTATCTTCTATCCCAGTGATCTCATCCCACACTCTTGGATTTCACGCCACCCAGATCTCAGTGACTAGCCTAGATTTCTCCCCCTGAGCTTCAGACCCATAGATCTAACTCCTTGCCATGCTGTTCCATCTCAGCATTCCACACGTTATATATTTCCCAATATAAGACAGGCTTCTCTCTCTTTTTTTTTTTTTTTAAGATAGGCTTCTCTTATTTTCCCCACTTTATTAGGGGCTGCTGCTACCACCAAGACTTTTAAGTCAGAAGACTGGAAATTATCCTAGCTTAACTCCTTCTCTCTCACCTCACCCTTAATCAGTCACCTTATCTTTCCCCCTCTGTGTATGGGGATCCTGACAACTTCTCTCCATCCTCATAACCACTGCCCTTCTGTCTACCCCGTTTCACTAGGCTAGAATCCTTACCTTCAGTCTCATGGTCCTCTATCCTATTCCTCACTACCCCCACCAGACGTACCTCAAAAACTGAGTTGTGTGGGATCCCTGGGTGGCTCAGCGGTTTGGCGCCTGCCTTTGGCCCAGGGCGCGATCCTGGAGTCCCGGGATCGAGTCCTGCGTCGGGCTCCCGGCATGAAGCCTGCTTCTCCCTCTTCCTCTGCCTCTCTCTCTCTCTCTCTCTCTCTCTCTCTATGTCTATCATAAATAAATAAATAAATAAATAAATAAATACATACATACATACATACATACATACATACATACTAAAAAAAAAAAACTGAGTTGTGATAGCTCCTCACAGTCTGCTCCCAAACCTTACCCTCCAGCACTGTCAATCAAGACCCTTCTTTTAGGCATACATAACTTTGTAAGATGTTCAAAAATATTTTGGAACAATAAAATATAAATATCCTTGTTACCTGAAGTGTTACTCTAAGGACCTACAGAGCTGAGGGACTATATCACCTGGGACCTAGAAGCTCAGGTCCTACCCCAAACTTACTATATCAAAATCTTCATTTACAACATATCCAAGGTGATTTTTATGCACATTAAAGTTTGAGAAGCAGTGAGTAGTAAAACACTTTTTTTTTTTTTTTTTAGTGAGTGGAGAAATCAAAGCTAAGGGAAAATATGATGAAGCCAGAACTGAAGTAACATTAATATTGTTAAATGCATGAAATCCAGTGGTCTGTACTTAATTGGGGGGTGAATCGTAATACTGATTTTAAGGAAATGAAGACCCCTTGACCAAATCAAGGTTTTTAGTATGTGTAGGTACTAGGTTTAGTACTTTCTTCTCCACCACCCTTCTCCTGCCTCCTTTCATATCACTGTGACTACATCAAAAAAATCCTCTAAGGCCAGACTCTCTCTGATCTTCCTTTCTAGAGAGCTAAAGACCAAGCCCTTCTCACCAGCCCCCTGCCTTTCCTTAGTTTCTTAAAGCTAGTTAGCTATATCACTTCTTCTAAAAAGGCTACCATCCCTCTCTGACCTTCCCCTTCCTGCTGTGCACCAGGCCATAGGGCCACTTTTTACCCTGTACTGTAATTGATTAATGGGAGGCAGTCCCCAGCTGTGAGGAAGGGCACAGGTCCTGGCATCAGATACTCTCAGGTCTGACTCCCAGCTCCCCCTCCTATAAGATAGAACTCTCAACCAGGGACTTAATCTCTCTGGGCTTTCCTTTCCTCACCTGTCAAATGTGGCTAATAATAGTGCTTTACTGTACAAAACTGTTGAGAGAAATGGGTGAATTAACACAGGGCAGTAGTGTGTGCTGTGCCTCACCGGTCCAGGAACCCGGTTTAACCAGTAAATAGCTGAGTGGCTACAGCCCTGAGTCAGGCGGCCAGTGTTGAGCCAGGAGGATGCAGGCCTGTGCGGAGGTCCGAACTCCTTTCAAGCTTCCCCTAGTCAGGCGACCTGGAGTAGGGCGGGACCGTCGGGTTGAGTGACGGCTAGCGGCCCGCCCCGGGCGTGACGTCATCCCGGTGTTGTTGCTGCGGCGCACGTGGTCCACTGAGTCTGCTTCTGAGTTAGCTGCGCTGGGCGCCCTGGGCTGGCGCCCCAGCCGACTGCCGTCCTGCTCACTATGTCCACATCCACGAGCTGCCCGATCCCCGGAGGCAGGGACCGGCTGCCCGACTGCTACAGCACCACGCCGGGGGGCACGCTATACGCCACTACCCCGGGAGGTCAGCGGGCCGGGCTGGGGGTCCGCGGGCCCTGGGCAGGCCCAGCGCGGGCGTCCTGTGGCGGGCTGGGAGAGGGGAGGTGCAGGCCTGGGATCCTCGCCGCAGGCCTCTTTACAGGTTGTAGCTTTTGCAGGGGGTGGGAGGGTGTTTGGAACTGAAGGCCGGTTCAGTCCCCTGAAACTTCGAAGTAAATGCACCGTGGCCTAAAGCCTAGCTCCTGGGTGACTGGACTGAACTCCCCACTGTGGCCTGGGTTTTAGGTGCCCTCCCGACTTTGCCGCCTGGAATTAGGACCCAGAGCCGGAGCTGAGCTTGACCTCAGCAGGAAGCACCAGGTCTCCCAAAGCGGCTAAAGCAGGACTCAGGCAGTTGGGGCCAAAAATCCTTGAGTATCTGCAGGTGGCTGGCAGCTGTTTGGTTGGGCTGATTGCCTGGGATCTTGAGCTGCTGGGCTCCTGGACCCAGGTTTCCTGCCACGTGGAGGCAGAAGGGAGGGGCAAGAACAGGGTAGGGCCCTTTGAGAACAGAACCGGGGCCAAGTTTCTTAGGCTTGGGCTGAGCCTGATAGGACTTGGGAGGGGTCAGGGTAAGTAAGAACAGTTTGTCCCTGTTTCACCGAGAAAGCAGCTGTCCAGAGAGCACACCTTCTCCTTGCCGGGTACCCAAACCCAGATGGCAGCAAGGGTGAAATCTGCTATTTGGCCTCTTGAGCCAACTGCCTGGAGGGCTACGACCCCCCACCCTACAGAAGTAGGGAAGCCCCAGATCCAGCAGAGCCAGACAGGAGCAGTCTTTAGTACCTGAGTTCTCCCAAGTTTTGTGCTCCTCCTTAGAACTGAGACCTGAAGCTTCCCTAAACCAAAATACCTGGACCAGCTGGGATGCCCTACTTGCTTTATGGCACTTAGCCACATCTTGGTTAGACCTGGAAGTCTTTAAGTGCTCTGAAAGCCAGTCAGCTGAGACCCTGGCTGGTCTGCAGAGCAGTAGCCCTTTAATACATGGGGAAATGTCCCAGGTCCCTTAAAAGCCTGGGTATGACACCCTATAAACTCTGTACCCAAGCTCCAGCCTCTTACCTAGTTCCTACCCCTTGACAGGCACCAGGATCATCTACGACCGAAAGTTCCTGCTGGAGTGCAAAAATTCACCCATTGCCCGGACGCCGCCGTGCTGCCTCCCTCAGATTCCCGGGGTCACAACTCCTCCAACAGCCCCACCCTCCAAGCTGGAGGAGCTGAAGGAGCAGAAGGAGACAGAGGAAGAGATACCCGGTAAGGAAAGCAGGGCCTAAAATTAAGAAATGCCGGAGTCCAAATGCCCCTGTTCAGTAGAGTGGGGGTTTAACGGTGAGAGGGGTTTCTGTACTGATGCTAAGCTTGCTGAGCTTGCAGACCCTCACCCCAGCATACAGTCCCTGTCTTCTTTTTCTCCAGATGACGCACAATTTGAAATGGACATCTAATCCAGTGCAGATGATCCTGTGTGGAATTAGAGGAATCCCTCATACCACTGCTGCCATCACCTCTTCCTGGTGTATTCCAAACACCAGGTGGCCTCATAATCTGGAAGGGAGTGACTTGTTGGTTTTGGGCCTCCCTTAGTTCTGAGGCAGCTAGACCAGGGATACGAGTGGGCAACTTGCCAAGCCCTTAGCTCTTTCCCTTCCGTCTGTAGATGCTCCTCCCAACCCCCAGCCCTCCATCATCAGGGGCTGAGGCTGGGACTAAGGGATGGAGTATGTCACTGTCTAACTGCTTAGTAAAAATTCAAAGAAATGCTTTGACTCTGGTGTTCTCCTCGATACTGACCTTCCCATCTCAGCCACAAAACTGAGGGCCCCAGCAGACCTGGTGAGGATCAGAGGTCCCCCAGTCCATTCCCAGCTGTCATTAGGTCCACTTTCAGCAGCAGTGAGAGCCAAAGGCAGGCTATGGGGGCAGGCTGCAGGAGCCGCCAAGCCATAAACAGCAATAGCAGTAGCCTGACCCTTGCCAAGGGCCGTTCCAGCCTTTCCAGGAAGCAACCTTCCTGGAATTCGGCCTCTCCAGCAGTCCCTCCCTATTGATTCCAAATCAGGAAAAGGAGGCACTGCCCTAGAGTTTAACCTTCTCCAGTCCCTCCCATGCTTTTTCTGCCTTCCACCCAGAAGTATCGTCCCCTGTTCCAACACAGAAAACCTGTATCCACCCTTCTCAGCATAATTTAAGCCTCTATGACCCCTTCCATTTGGCTCTCCTGTCCTCAAGAGGGTTAGAAGACCTCAGGGCCCAGAATGAGTTAGCAGCTTACTTGGTGAATCAGTCATGATCCTACCCACCTAACTACCCCCAAGCACCCCTCCAAAAAGTCATGATCCCATGTTTCAGCAATCCAGTCTTCTTCATTTATACAGCTATGTTCTAATCTCTCTAGCACTGTATGTCTCAAGGGTAACCAGAGTACAAACAGAGCAGTCTTCTTTTCTTGAGGGAAAAATCTTCTCTATTTGAGCCTCTGTTCTTATGCTGCAACGAAGTTCTATAAAAATAGAGATACTCAGCCCAGCAAGGAATATGTGTTTCAGTCTATTTTGGGGGAAAGTGGCAGAAGTAATTGGTCATGCCTAGCAAAGTCATTCATGATGAAAAGGAGGAAGAAGAGAGGTTTGTAAGGTACACAGATAGCAAGGCAGTCAAGGATACCGTAAGGGACCAGTTTGGCACAAGAAAGGCTTCTCTCTCCTACCCAGACCCCACTATTAAGATGTTTTTATTAAAACACATGTTATGGGTAACAACTCTTCCCTGTGGCCCAGGTGGCTGGCACCTCTTCCCCCAGAGATAGGTGGAGCAGGCCAACAATCCCAAGGAGGCAGTCTCCCAAGTGGTAAGAGGGAGCCAGATGAGAGAAGGCCTCCCTGCCAAAGCAGAGGAAATGGTGTGAAGTGAGTCAGGATCCCACAGGATTACGGAGCCTCTTGGACGCCTGGTACTGTCTGGAACTCCTCAGCTATGGTTGTAGATTTCTCTTCATTGGCCTCTTCCTCTGAAGACAGGTTCCTCTTTTCTGCAATTAACCTTTTAACTCCCACCATCCACTGACTGACCTCAGTCACATGGTCAACCATGAGTGAGCAGTGGATGTTATCTGCAGCATCCCACTGGTGACTTGAAAGCTCTGAGGAAAGAGAGCAGGTAAACAAGCAGTTTAGGGCAAAACACCTAGCTCCCACTCTTCTCATCCCAACCAGTCAGAATCTCAGTATCTATTCCAGCTCAGCCATCCATGACAAGTTGAGGGAGCTAGGCTATACCAAAGGACCCAGCCATACCTTGCACCAGGAGAGCCATCCTCTTCTTCACAGACACTGACAGCTTCCCTCCAGCCCATTGCTCCTGCAGCAGAGCCAGGCGTCGGCTGATGTCATCACATACTTGCTTCTGAGAGACAAAAGGGCCCTCCAAGTCAGTGCTGCTAAACCAACAGGGCCAGAGGAAAGACCACACCAAATAGGAAGTGTACCTACTTTCTCTGGCCCAGAGAATACTTCATCTGAAGAGTTCTGGTTAGAGGCCCCACTGAGAATCTGTTAAAACTTACACATCTCCCAAGAAAAATCCATGTATGGCTAGAATTTTAAATTTTCCAGTTTCTCAGATCCTCAGAAACTCATTCTGTAGTGCTATTTTACAAACAAGGAAACTAAGGATCTCGGTCCTTTTATTATCCCACTAGTGTGCCAGGGCTTATTACCTTTGTGTGGCCACGGCAATCCTCCAGTGCCTCTTCCAAAGGTTTGAGCACATCTTCCAGCAGAGTTTCAGATTCCATCACTGGGAGATTTGCTGGCTTCACACTGGAGGCAAGATAACTCCCCACAGGAGGGGGCCTGGAAGCCTGACTTGAAGGAGGTGGAGGCCCCATTGGAGGGGGCCCCTGAGAAGTCTGGGAGGCAGGGACTGAAAAGGTAAAAGCAAGATCAAGCACACATGGCTGAAACAGGTAAAAAGCTCGACTCTAACTTCATCCCTTGTAGAGGGCTACTCTCTAAGACAACTCATTCACTCAGAAATGTGTATTTATGAAGTCTCTACCACGTGCCAGAAATGTGCAAGGCACCAGAGATAGAGTAGTAAAGCAGACGGATTAGGTTCCTGACCTCAAGAGAGCAGAAATTCTAGGGAAAGGAAAATACATACAAGAAAATTATAAGTTATGCTGCATGTTACAAAGAAAACATGATGTAATGAGGAGGAACAGTAGGGGCACCTGAGCAGCTCAGGCCATTAAGCCTTGGAGCCCTGCGTTTGGCTGGATGCTCCGCGTGGAGTCCACTTGAGAGTCTCTCTGCCCCCTCCCCCAGCTCACGCACACACTCTAGCTCTCTCTCTCTCCTTCAAAATAAATAAAATCTTAAAAAGGAGGAGGCAAATAGTACAGGGAACTACCTAAAGTCAGTGTTTGAGGAAGGCCTTCTCAGGTGACTTATAGTTTATCCATGCTCACCTATTCTGTGGCATTTGGCAAGTTACCTTTAACCTTAGAGCTTGGGTTCCTTTTCTGAAAAATGGGGATATCATGGTAGTAGCATTTCTTTCACAGGGTTGCAGTGTTGATTAAGTGAAAATATAGGTGCAACTGCTAGAGTGTAGCAAAAATTGTTCACAAAGTTAATAGCTAGTGGATAAGCTCAATACACCCATGAAAGCCATGTACCTGGCTGAGGTAAGGGCAGTGCCTAAAATGCAGAGTTAAGTCTTGACTTGTTCAAATTACACAAACCAGCACCGTGTGGCTGGAAATTATTAACCCTGAAGAAGGCAGTGTTAGCTATCTCTAGAGAAGCAGGCAGGGGTCCAGACCATATAGGGCTTTGGAGGAGTTTGGTCTTAAGCTTAAAAGTAATGGAAAGCCACTGCAGGTTTATAAAAAGCAGGGATGCTTAGACTTGTTTTTTAAGTCATTTGCTCTGTATGGTCTGTGAAAAATGGATAATAGGTCAAGAATGGAGGCATGGACAATAGCTGAGAAGTTAATGGAATAGTTCAGGAAAAAGAGCAGACGAAGGGAAATGGAGTGGTCTGAGCTTTATTTAGGAGGAGGGAGCAACAGGACTTTTGGAATGGAATGAGGGAGAGGAGTCAAGGATGACTCTTGGTCTCTGCCTGTGGTAATAGGATGGTGGAAAGCCTGTGGAAAAAGAGAAAACTAGAAGAAAACAGTCATTTGACTTCTAGACATCAACATTCACATGGATGATTTAATTCATCTTGTTCAGTTTGGCCTCTCAAGTTTCTCGAGCTCCTTGCCTTCAATGATTTTCCCCACCCTTCCACAAAGCAGTCGCTCACTGCTCTCTGCCTTATTCTTAACAACACTGTGCCATCTCCAAAATCTGACCACCTCCTCTATCCTTCCAGCCCAACCAATCAGAGTTCATGCATTAAAATCATTCCCTTATAGATACTCTTACCTCACTTATCCCCTCCCACTGTCCCACTTTCCTGGTAAAACCAGCTTGTCCACACTTGTTGGAAAGAAAAACAGAACCAGGCTGTTGATTTACACTTCAAATTCATGGGTACAGGGGCACCTGGGTGGCTCAGTTGGTTGAGAGTCTGCCTTTGACTCGGGTCATGATCCCAGGGTCCTGGGACAGAGTTCCATGTAGGGGCTCCCTGCTCTGCAGGGAGTGTTTCTCCTTCTGCCCCTCCTCCTCCTTGTTCTCTCACACTTGCTTTCTCTCTTAAGTAGATAAATAAAATCAAATACATTCATGGAAAGGTATCCAACACTGCCTGGAATTCCTATCCTTTGCCTCATTTTTCCATTTTTTCAGAACTCTTCACATTTTCTCTCCGAGTTTTTCTATCTTCTCCCCTTACTTTTCCTTTCCCTGCATTCTACATATGACCCCACCTCATTTCACTGAGAAAAGAGAGGTCATTAAACAGGAACTCTCTCATCTTCCCATCACCTTTTCTACTAATCCACCAGTACCTGTGGCCACTTTCCTTCCTCCTCTGATAGATAAGGCCATCCTTCCATACTCATGCCAGCCTCTTGTCTTCTCTAGGCTTGTCTCCTGCAGTTAGCCTGTTTTCTTAGACCATCGGTATACAAACATGCTCTAGTGTTTTACCATCTTAACAAAAATCCTCCCTTAGGTCACATTCCATCCTTAGTCACATCCTCATTTCTGTCTCACAGCAGAATTTCTTGAAGGAGCTATACGGTCTATAGTTAGTTTCTCTACTTCATTTTACATTCTCTTCTCTGGTCATTTCAGCCGGGTTTCTACGCTTACCTCTCCACAACTGCTTCTGTTAGGTAACCAGTGTCTGTGTAGTTTAGCAAATCCTTTTAGCAGGCCCCTTTTCTCTGATCTGACCTCTCACATCATCCATCATAGTCGAGTCAAAATTTTATTCTGTTGGAGTAAATTTTACTTTTCTTCTTGCTTCTTTAGCTATTTCCCAAACCCCTTTAAACTAGAACCTTGAAATGCTAGAGAGCCTTAGGGATCTGTCTTGGATCCTCTTTAGGGTTCTATCTACAATTCTCCTTAAGTACCTTATTCAAACCCACAATGTCAAACACCATCCAAACGATCATGACTCATTTCTGCAATTCTGGCCTAGACCTCCCCACAGTAGCTGTCCAGATTTAACAGGCCAAGACAAAGCTTGCCTTTCCTCTCTCCCCAAACCTCTACTGCCCCCCATTCCCTGGTTTCCCGTATCTATGAACAATACCAGCTAGTTCCTCAAGCAAAAAATTTAAGTTATGTTGATTCTTCTTTCTCACCTATATCTATTCCTGTTGAGTTCCTCAGTAACATATGCCATACCCATCCAATTCCTGCCACCTCTATACTCCCACTCTAGTTCGAATCATCATTAAATCTTGCCCATATTACTGAAATAGCCTTTCCATATCTTCCCTAAAATCCTTTCTCCATGTAGCAGGCACAGTGATCTTTCTTAAGATGTGCATCAGTGTTTCTCAACCTGGGGATATTTTGCCCCCAGTGCAAATGTCTGGAGGCACTTTCGGCTGTCACAACTGGGTGAATGCTACTGGCATCTAGTGGGTAGAAACCAGGAATACTGCATACATCCTACAAAGTACTAGACAGTCCCTGGCTGGAACAAAGAGTTATCGGGCCCAAAATGTCAATCATGCCAAGGTTAAAAGACCATGATTTATGCGGTGCCTGAGTGGCTCAGTTAAGCATCTGAATCTTGATGTCAGCTCAAGTCATGACCTCAGGGTTGTGAGACTGAGCCCTGCATTGGGCTCTGCGCTGGGCATGGAGCCTACTTGGAATTCTTTCAGTCCCTCTGCCCCTCCCCTGCTCACTCTCTCTTTCAAAAAATAACAGGGACACCTGAGTGGTTCAGTGGTTGAGCATCTGCTTTTGGCTCAGGTCGTGATCCTGGGGTCCTGGGATTGAGTCCCGCATTGGACTCCCCGCAGGGAGCCTGCTTCTCCCCGTCTGTGTTTCTGTGTCTCATGAATAAATAATTTTTTAAAATCTTAAAAAAATAGGGGATCCCTGGGTGGCGCAGTGGTTTGGCGCCTGCCTTTGGCCCAGGGCGCGATCCTGGAGACCCGGGATCGAATCCCACTTCGGGCTCCCGGTGCATGGAGCCTGCTTCTCCCTCTGCCTGTGTCTCTGCCTCTCTCCCTCTGTGTGTGTGACTATCATAAATAAATAAAGAAAAAAAATATTTAAAATCTTAAAAAAATAAACCCTGGTTTGTGTCATCATTCCTCCATAGTGCTGAGTATAGACAACATAGGGTTATTGAAAGAGCTAAATCTGAGCCTCTTTGCTGGGGCCATAGCTCCAACTGTTCACATGAGACATGCTCAAAAGTAAAGGCATCCCTCTACTTTGAACTTTTCAATGGCTTCAATTTACACAGATTAAAATATAAACTCCCTATCCTGGTTTACAAAGCCCACTATGATCTGGCCCCTGTCTGCTTCTCAGATTTTAATTTCTCTGACTTAGCCCACTCTGCTCTAGCCATTAGGTATTCCTTCAGTCTGATTTGGCCAAACTTGCTCTCAGGGCCTTTGTGCTGGCTGTTTTCAGTGTGTGGAATGCTCTTGCACCTGAGTCTTTACGTGGCTAGATTTTAACTATTCACTTAAATGTCAGCTCCTCAGCCATCTAAGTTACAGAATCACTCTTGCATTACCCTGTTTTCTCTGCAGAACACTCACCACTACTTCATTTGTCTATCTCCAAAGCTAGAGTATAGCCTCGCTTGGAGATAGACATGGAAACAAACCTTTTTTGTCTTGTTCACTGCTGTCTAGTTTGCCTCAAGCAGTGCCTGGCTCAGAGATGCTCAGTAGGTAACAATGAATGAATAGACACATTAAATCTGGATGCTTACCATATAATCAAGTGAAGATGTAGCCAGAGACAAATGAATATACCACTATGGTACTCCAGGAAGAGACACAAATTGTTAATAAAATGTGAAAACAATTTGAGAATAAAAACTATATCTAAAAATATCATAGGTCTGGATAAGCTCACCTATAATGAAAGCAAAGAGGGATTCTTTTCAAACTTACCACTTACTGACCTAGGCAGAATTTGCTCGGAAAAGGGCTGCCTTGTGCCCCGTTATGGCGTTCACCCTCTCGGGAAGAGACCTCAGAGAAGTAAAAAGGGCCCTCGGGCCAGGCTTAACCAGCACCGCCCTGTCGGCCGGTCTCCGCGCGTGGGACCCCCACGCACCTCTGGGAGAGCCATCCTGGGGAGCGGCGATCCTTTTGGTGAGCGGGGTGCGCTTAGGTCCACCGGCCAGAGTCTGCAGCCCGTAGGAGAACTGAGGCGGGTCGTTCCAGCCACGCTCCTTGTTGCCTGCGGAAGTGAGAGGGCACATGAAGCGAGCCTGGGGAAGACGAAGGCTCTACCCCCCCAGGGCAGCAGCTGCCCTTGGCCTGGGTGAGGGACGACCAGCGCCCCTAGGCCGCCGGCCGCGCTCACCCGGCTTCACGTACAGCTCCGCCATCTCCACTTCCTCAGGGTCCGCAGCCCATGGCGTCACTTCCGGGGCGGCCGCACACCCGCGGGTCCGGATGGCGCCGGCCGCTCCGAGCCCTCTAAGTTGAACGGCTGTTCAGAAAAGCCGGGGGCCGTCGTGGGGACACTGCGCCTGGTCCCCGAGGAACTCCAGCTCCCGCTAATACGGCACCGGGGCTCTGATCACAAGGCACTAGAGGACGCGGTTTTCCAGGAGGCGGCGCTCCAGGAGTCCGAATCCCCGGTAGGTTCAAACTGTCACAGTTGCCCCGGAGACCGTTTTAACCACCCGCAGCTCCAGCCCCACAAATGCCCCTGTGTGATCTAGCCAGGTGGAATCCTAGAACCTCACCGCTGCCTGGCACATCTATACTCTCTAGGCTCAGTAACTAGTATTCATTTTCCTTCAGGACTTAGATGTCAATTCTTCAGGAAGCCTCTAATGCTTTGGATCAGGTTAACCCTCTGACCGGAGCCTCCACAACCATGAGATTTGCTAGTTGTACTACATACTGTCTTCTACTTTAGCTCTTGTTCGGCTCCCCTTCTGATGATCTCATATTTTATATCCCCACTGCCTAGCACACAGACCTTAGAAATTACATTTGTTTAATGAATGAAATCAATTTCCAGGACGCCTGAGTAGCTCAGCGGTTGAGTGTCTGCCTTCAGCTCAGGGCATGATCCCGGAGATCCAGGATCGAGTCCCACAAGGGGCTCCCTGCAGGGAGCCTGCTTCTCCCTTTGCCTGTGTCTCTGCCTCTCAATCTGTCTCTCATGAATAAATTAAAATCTTTTTTAAAAAATCAAATTTCCGGGGATCCCTGGGTGGCGCAGCGGTTTGGCGCCTGCCTTTGGCCCAGGGCACGATCCTGGAGACCCGGGATCGAGTCCCACGTCGGGCTCCCGGTGCATGGAGCCTGCTTCTCCCTCTGCCTGTGTCTCTGCCTCTCTCTCTCTCTCTCTGTAGGACTATCGTAAATAAATAAAAAAATAAATAAAAAAATCAAATTTCCACCACACACCATGTCCCCATGTGACTACAGGCAGCCACCAACACACCAAGCACAGACACAGACACTCACCTCACGCAGGTATTAACCCCCAACCCTATCCCAAGCCCAATATACTCACACCTAGTGAGGTCACTGAAGGATTTTTATTTGTACTGATTTGCTATAAAGTGTTGCTGAGGTAGAGCCAACTGTCCAGGACTGGACAGGGGCAAGGAACACAGGGACCCAGGGAAAGGACAGTCAGGGGCCTAGGTTGTGGTGCAGGGCCTCTCAGTCATCTCTATAAACATTGAATAAATTGGGCAATAAACAGAGGGTAGGCAAGAGCCAGAGGGGCAGGCAGAGAAGGCTTCAAGGAGTGAGAGGCTACAGACCCCTGAAGTATGAAGGGGTATAGAGTTGGGCATGTACCCAGAGCTTCCTTACCCAGTCCTCCTGGATTAACTTAGGGCATATGGAGCAGAGAAGGTTTCAGACGGAAGGCATCAAGAAAAGAGAAGACACCCCGCTTTCGAGGGGCTGCCCCTGCACCCCCAACCCCTCCTTTGAGCAGGGGGAGTGGCAGGGGACCTCCTGGGGAGTCCACAGAGCTGGTCCGCTTGAGCCGCAGGCGGGCACGGGCCTGGGCACCCCAGGCCTTGCCTCGAGCTGCAGAGGCCACAAGACACTTCTGGTACTGAACCTAGGGAAAAGGGGAATGTGAGGATCCAGCTCCTTTCTGCCCCTGGGCACCCTGAAAACATCTGCAGAACAGGGAACTGGCCATGGCTTCAGTCTGGTATGAGGCTGGTAGTTGGCCCCATCTGGAGCCCCTACGACATTCCCTGGGAGCTCAATAACAAAAACAGAAAACGACATTTAGGAGGGCTGGGCATGTGCTAAATGCTTCACATAATCTCACTTAATCCAAAGTTATTTATCAGGTATTATCACCATTTTGCAAATGAGGAAATTTTGGCTCAGAGAGAATACACATGACTTGCCCAAAGTCACCTAGGCAAAAAATGGTACAACTGGAATTCAAACTTATAATATACCTTAAGTGATCTTCCTAATCCACAAATTTAAATTCACTGCTCAAGACCTTTCAATGTCTCAAAGCGACTTGAGACAAAATAAATTCATCCCACAATCTCTAAGTTCTTCCATGACCTGGTGTCTGCCATTTTTTCTGCTCTCACTTCGTCTGCCCCTTTGCGCTCCAGATACACTAGATTCATTTAGATACACTTACCCGCTAACACTGCACTCATCTTCACAGCTGAAGTTCCTTGTATTTGGCATACCTTTGGTCCCATCCCCTTCACCTAACTTCTTCATTGGACCTTCAACTCTCACCTTTCTATCACCTCTTTCAGGTAGCTTTCTGCAAGGGGCCATCTCCTCCATCATCATGTGGCATACAACTCCCTTCTGGTCTGTGTCTGATCTAACCTGTGTGTTCTGTGAGGGCAAAAGCTGTGCCTTCTGTATCAGTGAATTCCCAGGCTCAGGTATGGTGCCTGGTACCCTGTAGACACTTGTATTTGTTGAGGAAAGAGTGAGCTGAACTTAAGAGTAAGCATCCCACATTCCAATGTGCACAGAGGCCAGGAAATAACCTAAATGAGACATACAGGAGAAATAGTGCCCACCCAACCTCGAACAGCCCCTATACAATTCCAGCTGAATGTTGAAATTTATATGTGTGGGACCAGGATCAGAGTCTGCTACTTTAAGAGAAACAAGAATAGCAATTAATACATGAACTGCCCTGCTTCTCTACATTAGCAACTAACTTAAACTTATTAAAAACAGCAGGAGGGACAAATAAAAGAGTAGTTTACTGTAGTCAGCCTGGATTACTGGCTTGTGATTTCTGGAGAGGGTACCAATCCTGAGCCCCAGTTACCAGTACAGAGCAGCTGAAAGGCAACCCCACCCACCCATTCCCACCTGTAACTCACCATGCAAGCAGCCTGCACAGCTTCAGAGAGTCCCCCTGCATGGGGCTGGCACCAGAAGGCTGCACACTGGAAGCTCTGACGGCCCAGGTCAGCAATGAGGCCAAAGGTGTGAGGGTCACGGCCAACACCAATAAAGGTCACAAGGCGCACAGGGCACTGCCACAGTGGTTCCTCCTCTGCACCAGCTTCTGCCTGCCCACACCAGGCCTAGTCACTAGAGGACTGAGCACTGGTTGGACCCACTGAGCTCTTCCAATAGCAAGCAATGAGCCCCTCAGCATCCCTCCCATTCCTCCACAGCCCCCAACTTCACCTTCTTCTGGTACCTGAATGGGATGTGCAGTCATGAGAGAGTCAGACACACTGAGCATGGCAGGGACCCAAGCATCCTGGTCCCCCCGAGTGGTGAGGGTACCAATGGCCTCATTCAGCACGTCCATGCCTGGGGTGGGGGGGGACATGCCCACCATGGTGTCTTCCAGGCAGAAAGAAAGAAGGGATCTGCAAGGAGTGTCTAGGCCCCTCTGACTGACTTGGGATTCAGAGAGGTGGCAATAGAGGGGCTGGAGCTAGGCTTAGAATCCTGAGTTGGGAAGGATGGCACATTCTATGCCAGACAAGGCCATAAGAGCACTCTGAGAAATGGTGGTAGATCCTACCTTAACCACCTTCTCTGACCTCATCTAGCCCGCCCACTACCTCAGCCAGCTTAGTCCTTACCCATGGCTTTGGTGACTGGCAAGGTCCCCATGTACAGTGCCTCATACTTCTGAGCAGCCTGGCTCACTGCATCCAGCAGCTCCACTGAAATGTACACATAGGAGTTGGCTTCCACACTCTCTCAGTGACCCCTCTTACCCACCCTTCTGAGATTCAGAACTAGTAGAAGGAAGGCCACTGATGCTCCTCCAATTCAGAGCTTGGGATCCCTGGAACCAGCACACATCAGAAATCCTACGTATCCAGGGAAGGACTAAACAACCAGGACTAAACAACCCAAACTTTCACTAAAGTAGCCTCTTAACTGCAATGCAGCACCTCCCTCCCCATACCTTGCCGTGGCAGATCTTCTGGGGAGATGGGGTCTAGAGAGGAGCAAGGGGAATCACGGGAATCACCACTGACACCTACTCGCTCTGACAATATCTAAAACACAATGCAACCAACATGAGATACAAGGAGAGAGAGGAATTGAGGCAAGGGAGCCAATACTTCCCTGACCCAACCACCTTAGAAGCTTCAGACCCATACCCACATTCCCTGCCCCACTTTGGCCCTTACCTGGGCACAGAGCCCATGTAGGGCACTGGCAATGGCCTTGGCAGGGACATCACAGCGAAACACATGGCACTTGAGCATACAGCTGTCTTTGTCACCCGCCACAAAAGCGAAGTCCCTGGTAGGGTCAGAGATGGGGCTGGGGCAGGGACAGGGGCAGAAATTGGGGTAGGGTAGAGGCTGGGTAGGAGCAGGGGCCTGTAGTGCCTACAGGAGACTGGAAAGTCAGGCAAGGGACATAGGGATGGAACAGGGAGGTAAGGGCTGGGGCTCAAGGCACCGGGCTGTCACTCACCTGTCTCTGTTCCGGAAGCATGTGGGAACACAGGAGAGAATCAGCCCAGCCTCTCAGACTCAACCCCATCCGTCCCTGAGGAGCTGGGCCCACCCTCCCCAACCAGGGCTGGACCAGGCAGGGGAGGCAGAGCTTGGGTCCATGTCAGAGGATCTGTGTCCAGGGGTTCAAGTACAGAGGATCAGCATCAGTGGGGATCATAGCCTGCAGGAGGGAGGGAGGAGCAACTATCACTTGGGGGGATGCAGGGATCCTCACCGGCCCTTGGAGCTGCCCACACCCCACACACGGATGTGCACCAGAGGCTGGCAGTGGATTAGACTATGGTCCAGAGGATTCACCAAGCTCATGGCATCCTTCTTTAGGATCATCAGCATGTTCTGGCCCTGCCGAGGAGAGGTCAGTCTGAAGCTCAGATCAATGTGGTTACCATGGAGAACAGGCAATTCAGGGACAGGCTGTCTCTGCTGGGCCCTAGGCTGAATCCCTTGAAGGGACTGCCAGCTCACCTCACCCCAGGCACCATCTGGGGGCTGGCTGCGGCTACGGCTGCGAGTCTGAGCCAGTTGCTGGATGCAGTTATTGACTGCAATACTGCTCTTCCCTGGTACCAGATCCTCTTCGGGTACCTCTACCCAGCCCAGGGAGCGGACTGCAAAGCACTGACGGATTAGGGGAAAGGACAGAACGGCTCTGAGGGGAGGTGGACATGGAAGTGGAACAGTAGGTAGAGTAGGATGGGAGGTGTTGCAGGTTCCACACACATGAATCTTCCGGTATACATGCCCTTCACCCTTGATCACCTCTTCTCAGCCCAATCCCACCCCTGACCTTTCCCTTGGAACAATCCACCACCCCCACCACCATTCCCTGGGCTGGCCCTCAGACCCAAGATACTATACCTTAGCCCCTGGCTCCATGCTCCGGATGTAGGATTCTTCACCATACCAGGACAGAGAGGTCCTGGAAGAGAGTAGAGCTTGTAAGGGGACCACACTTCCTACAAAAGGGAGAGTAGTGAAGCCCTGACTACTTAATGGGCATGAGATGTGGGATAAGTCCCAGAACATAGTGCCCCAAATATATAACCAGAATGAGAGAGGGCCTAGGACACATTAAATAAATGTAACAGTGTGGTTTAAAATTTGAACAAAACTTCAGGACATAGGATGTAGAATAAAAGTTGTAAACATTGAACAGGATCCAAAACGTGGACCAGAACTCTAAAGTGAGACAAGACACTCTAGAACACTAAACAGGAACTTCCATGGAAAGAGCTTAGTACAGTGACCAAGATCTAGAACATGACTTATCAGTACCCAGAACAGGGAAGAACATGTAGCAAAACAGAGCATGGAACAAGGGACAAACTTCAAAATACTGAGAGACTCAAGAAATGGAACAGAGACAAAAACCTGGGCTTGAAAGCAGAATGTGAGTCCAGTTGCATCTCTGAGGGCCATGGAACCCCAAGCCTTTCATTCTCCCTGGCCTGTCCCTGTTACCTGCGGTCCAATGAGCTCTCCAGGCCCGAGAAGGATCTCCCCTTGGGAGGCCGAAGTCCCCAAATCCCCTCCGTCCTCTGTAGAGAGGGAACTAGGTCAGTGTGGCAGCAGGCCTACAACCACACATGGGTTCAGACCCCCTCCTCACACTCCACCTACCGTGCCCGGGTCCTCTGCATCTCCCGTCTCCCAGGTTGGGCGCTGCCACTGGGTGCTGCCACTGGGTACATGCCAATAGTAAGTACCTGCAGCATCGCGTATCTTCCTCCAGCCAGGGGGCAGTCCTGGCTCCCCCTCAAGACTCTGGTCCCCCCACAAGTCGTCTACAGGAACAGGGATGGGGACAGGAAACACAGGATTAGACAGGGAAGGCATATTCGTGGGTTCAGAACAACGCTCTGTCAGAACCGTCCCTCCATCCCGAAGGGGACAATCCTTAGGCTGGAGATCCAGAATGTCCTTTACAGCGCAAAGATCCAGGGTTCATTTGTCCCCTGGTCCTTACGATGAAACATACCCCGTCAACTCCCTCGTTCCCCCTCAGCTCCCGATCCTCCCATCGGGCCCCTCCGTGCACACCATCGCAGTTGACCAGAATGATGGCAAGCATGTAATCCTTGCCCAGCATAGCCCCGACCGCGTCCCCGCCGGCCTTCGCCGGCCCGCAAGCTCAGCCCAGCTTGACCTCCGGAGCTGCTGCGCCCACAAGCCCAGCCTCTCTGCGCTGGCTAGGCCAACCCGCGCCGCACAAATACGGGGCGGGATAGAAGCCAGGTCCCAGGGGCGGGAAAGGACGAGCCAGAGGGCGGCGCTTGTAAACAGGCGTCTGGATCCCCAAGTGGGCGCGCCTTTCCGTGCGTGGCTCCGGGAAAAGCGCAAAGAAGCCAACGCACCAGCTGACCTCACGGCGCAACTGTGAGCTCATCGAGGGGCGGACGACCAGCCAGACGAACGTGCACAGCACGCAGATGCGTACAAATGAGCTCATCGCGCCCAGTTCGTATGCGCTCGCGGACACTCATCTCGTGTCAGGCCGGAGGGGTCACGTGGAAGTACCTGGGCGGAAACCGCCGCGCTCGGCAGTCAGGGAGAGCACCTCCACCCTTTCCAAAAAATGTCCCGGAAGTGCCTTCGCCCTCAGTAAAGATGGCCGCTGCACTTGGCGCGAGGAAGGCGGGGTTGCGCCTGCGTAACAAGTTCGCCGGAGAAGATGGCGGATGACAAGGTGAGTGAATGTGGGCATTATCTGCAGTGTGGGGTGGTCTTCACACCGTTTTAGTCTTTGAGAAAGGCGACACTGGCCTTTATCCTGCCTAAAGGTGTCCCTTATGGGGTTTTAACTCTTGTCGGGTTTATATCTTGTTGACTGCCCTCAACGCTGGGGGAATGGAGTAGCGGAGCGCTACACGAGGCAAGCAGAGCTCGGCATCCCCCAGGTGTCCTCTCCGGGTCCTCTCCAGATCCTTAATTACTGGCACGCACTCCGACACACCCTGACATACTCCTCCTCTTTTGCATTCCCTAGTCCCCGAAATCTCCCTCTTAGAAACACGATGTTTCCAAGTCACACGGATACGCATTCTCATTTAAACTTTTGGCATACGCTGAATTTCATACTTTGAGGTGATCAAAGGCGCTCAGTTCATTTACCCACAATCCTGCAGACAGCCACCCCACACCCCACCCCAGCTAGTGCATCCAGTTACACATTGTTTGCGAAGCCCAGGCAGAAATCAGGTTTATCCTAGAGCGACCATGAAACTGCCTCAGGTCATTTTTCACCATTGGTCTGAAGTTCTGCACGTTTCACGCATCTAAGTACTTACTAGTCTCTGTGTTAGGCTTGGGGACCAAGTAGGCAAGACGGACAGCTTGCCACTTTCAGGTAGCTTATAGTCGCGTCAGTAGTGCGTGCCTGATAAATCGAAGCTGTTCCTCTTGCCTCCATACACACTGCTTGCTATATAAAATTTTGTAAGGGTTGTCACAGATGCAGATCTCATCTGTCACCCCCTCCGTGGCCCCCGTGTGAATTCAGTTTTCAATGTCTTTTTCTGGTGCCACGTCATTATGAGGAAGTTTTTATAAGAAGAGATGTCTCATCCTCACACCCCGACCTACCCAGCCCGATAGACCTGAGCAGGGAATGGGGCTGCATTAACCTGCTGCAGCCGATTTCCTTCTTGTTCTAGGATTCTCTGCCCAAGCTGAAGGACCTGGCATTTCTCAAGAACCAGCTGGAACGCCTGCAGCAGCGTGTGGAAGAAGAAGTCAGCAGTGGTGTGAGCCAGGTAAAGTTGTACCTGCCCACCAGGCTTCATTGCCCTGTATGGTATTGAATGGGTAATAGAGGTTTATTCAGCAAATAGTTATTGAGGGCCAGCTCTTTGTGACTCCAAGGAAAGTTTCCCGAAGAAAATGACACTAGAACTGGCATCTTAAATAGGAGTTAACTAGGTAAAGAGGAGAGGAGAGAACATTTCAAACAGATAAAATTACATATGTAAAGCTCTCATGGTGGGAAGTAGCCTGATAAATATGATGAATAGTTTAATTTGGCTGCAGTAATGGGGGAGCATTAGGAAGTGAGGCTGGAGAAACAGGCAGGGATCAGACTCCTCAGTGACATCTCCGTAGATTTGTGGTGGTGGAGTTCTACGGTTGGAGCCTTCTAACCACAGGGTTCTGAGATTGTGTGATCAGGACCCCTAGGTTCTTTTTCTGCCTCCAGAATCTTAAAAATCTTTGGAGAGAATACTACAGCTTTCCAGAGTAAGGAGGAGCAGGTGGTGGAATGCTCTAGGGCCAGCTTGAGTAGCTTCTAGATAATGAAGGAAGACCCTGGCTGAATTTTCTCCTTCAATTCACTCCACAGGATGGCTCGCTCTTGTCCTCCCCATTCCTCAAGGGCTTCTTAGCCGGCTATGTGGTGGCCAAACTGAGGGCATCAGCAGTATTGGGCTTTGCTGTGGGTACCTGCACTGGCATCTACGCAGCTCAGGCATATGCCGTGCCCAATGTGGAGAAGACATTGAGGGACTATCTTCGGTCATTGCGAAAGGGGCCTGACTAGCTCTGGATCCCATGGGGGAGAAAGGATGAGCACCTCTGGCCTGCAGGTAGAGGCCTTTCAACCACAGACACCATATTTGGCTTCCCGACCTATCACCCTTTTGCTATCTCCAACTTGCCCACAGCCTTCATCCTTGCTTTCCTTCCTGCAGAGGGTAAGTGGTGGCTTATCAGCCAGCAGTTTTTGGACGCCCCTCCTTAACCCCAAAGAAGCCACCTGAAAACTGTGGCTTCTAGAGCCACCAGCCCCTTTCTTTTACATCCCTGACTGTGGAGTTTGCTGCTGACTCTGATTCTCAGTATACTCTCTAGCAATGTACCACAGCTCCTCCCTCCGGGGAGCTGGCTCCATATTGGTTTTCCCTAAACTTGATAGAATTCCCATTGCCCCCTTGCTAGCCACACAAGCCACCCAGGGCCTGGTTTGGGCATGAGTGTAGAGGATGGGGGTGTGCCAGGCCTGGGCCGTCCCAGGCAGGCCCGCTGGACCCTGATGCTACTCTTATCCACTGCCATATATGGTGCCCATGCCCCATTACTGGCACTGTGCCATGTGAATGGCAAAGTGCCCTTCCGGCCCTCCTCAGCTGTGCTGCTGACCGAGTTGACCAAGCTACTGTTGTGCGCCTTCTCCCTCTTGGTGGGCTGGCAGGCATGGCCCCAGGGGGCCCCACCATGGCGCCAGGCTGCCCCATTTGCACTATCAGCCCTACTCTACGGAGCTAACAACAACCTAGTCATCTATCTTCAACGCTATATGGACCCCAGCACCTACCAGGTACTGAGCAATCTCAAGATTGGAAGCACGGCCCTGTTCTACTGCCTCTGTCTCCGGCACCGCCTCTCTGCACGTCAGGGGTTAGCACTGCTGCTGCTGATGGTGGCAGGGGCTTGTTATGCAGCTGGTGGCCTCCAGGACCCTGGGAACACCCTTCCTGGATCCCCGTTAGCAGTTGCTGCTGGCCCCATGCCCCTGCATATCACTCCACTGGGACTGCTACTTCTCATCCTGTACTGCCTCATCTCAGGCCTCTCGTCCGTGTACACAGAACTGCTCATGAAGCGACAGCGGCTGCCCCTAGCACTTCAGAACCTCTTCCTCTACACTTTTGGTGTGCTCCTAAATCTAGGTCTGCATGCAGGTGGCGGCCCTGGCCCGGGCCTCCTGGAGGGTTTCTCAGGATGGGCAGCACTTGTGGTACTGAGCCAGGCAGTAAATGGACTGCTCATGTCAGCTGTCATGAAGCACGGCAGCAGCATCACACGCCTCTTTGTTGTGTCCTGCTCACTTGTGGTCAATGCCGTGTTCTCAGCAGCCCTGCTGCGGCTACAGCTCACAGCTGCCTTCTTCCTGGCCACACTGCTTATTGGTCTGGCTGTGCGCCTATATTATGGCAGCCGCTAGCCCCTGACCACCTCCACCTGGACTCCTGACTCTGAAGATTGGCCACCATCAGAGCCACCTCCCAGGCCTCCCGACCCTTCCTCAGCAGCCAGCCCTGTAACAAGTGCCTTGTGATAAAAGGTGGGGAAGTGAGAGCAGCCAGGTTAGTCTCTGGAAGTGGGTGAATGAAGGGTTACCCCAGGAGACTGAGTTTAATTAAAGAAACTTCCCAAAAGTTTGTCCACACTAAGGAATTGGGGGAGCATCCATACCTCAGCCTAAAAATGACCCCATCTCCATTAGAGGAGACTCCCTGCCTCATCCTGCATGAATGCAGTTGTTTCAAGTGGGGTGTGGACAAAAGTTGGCTCTCCTTGCCTCCTGTGGTCACCCCAGCAGACCCATTGCCCCCAGGCCTGATGACAGCTATTCCACCCCAGCTTTGGTACATGAATCCCCCATTAGAGACATTCATCCCCGCACCATAATGCAAGAAACCCTATTGCTACCCAGGCCTCTCTTCCAAGCTCCCTTGGCTCCAGCAGCACCAGGAGACCATGCCCCCTGCTCCCTCCACAGTGCTGCTCTCCATATCCACCCAGCTTTGTTCTGGAAACTCCAGAGAGGGCTGAAGCTTGACCCATCTCAGGGAATGTTGCCCCTGGGCCCTGGCTTAAGGCTATACTCCTGATCTCTTTGCTCACCCCAAGGGCCCTCTCAAAGCCCACTGCCCCCTCTACAACTCCTAGGAGGTACCATTCTTCTCACTCTGGGTCCTGCCCCTGCCTAGCAGTGTCCTAGCTCTCAACAGCTTAGGGAAGCTCTACACAGAGTAACCTGGAACTAGGCACAGGGAAATTTGGTATAACTCAATCAGTGTCTCTATGTAAGCAATAAGGTCTTAATAAAGTATTCTGGGGTGCAGGTTCTGCAATTGACTATGATAGTCCTACGTCTTCTGTGCTTAATAGCTTTGCTGAAACATAATTTTGTTCCCCTGGTGCCCTGAATGTCTTAATGGCGGAGTAACTTACAGGCTAGGAGAAGACACTTTTCTCCTAGTTGTTGCCAGGAGTGTTATCTTCTTTAGGGCTCCATGGAGTGGAGACTGTTCTATCATAGAACTTTCCAAATTTCTCTGAAGTACAAAACGTGGGTCCTAGGGAATTCAGAGGAATTCTTGGAAATAGAAGGTACTGGGCCTGGCAGGACAAACTAGATTTTAGGCTAGAGAACTCATGCTTTCAATATGGCTTTGATTCTCATTTCCTCTGGTTCCCTCACTGATAATCCTGTCCTCTCTTCTCATGGCCAGAGGGACATCAGGCCCTGCTCCTTGGAAGAATACCTAGTAAGTTTAACATAACATAAAATAATTTTCAAAAGGCAGACCTATTGGAAAATCTTAGGGAATAGGGTAGGGCTTGGGAATCTTTTTTTTTCTTTTTTCTTTTTCTTTAATGAGCTGAAATGATTCCAATGCACACTGCATCTTGCAAACCCACTACTGTCTACAGTGTAGAACTCTGGCCAACCAGGCTTGAATTTGTCACTTATTAGCTGACTATCCTTGGGCAGTTATTTAACCTCTCCAAGCATTAGTTGCCTTACCCCTGAAATGGGGATTAAATGGTATCTACTACCATGTAGGGTAGTGGGAAAGACTAAAAAGTAGTGGATATGAGGCGTTTAACAGGGACTGGCACAACAGGACTTGGTTATTGGTATTGTTAATTATCCATAATGAAAATCAGCTTGGTTATTGTATCCCAGCTCCCTCTCCCTTCTAGAACCCTTAAGAATGAAGAGAAAGGAGCTATCCCTGCAGGACTACTGATCACCAAATTTCTCTCCAGGGCAGCAATCCACCAGGACTGGCCTCAGCCTAGTGTATTCCCTGCCGAAGTTGCTGGTTCTGGGCTCGGAGCTCCTGGTTCTGCGTGGCCAGGTTGATGTTGTCTTGCAGGACACCAGCCAGCAGGCTGCGGTGGTGATGCTCTGTGGTCACAGCCTGCTCCTCCCATAGCCTTCGCCAGGTTCGTAATACCTGTGCCCAGATTCAGAGATGCTTGTTAGTCAGTCAGCCTTGGAAGCACTTCAGGGCCTGCCTTTTGACCTCACTGACCTGCAGCATATGGCGTGTCTGAGCTCGGGCAGCCTGCACATGCAACTCATAAAGGGCTACGAGGTCCTGCTCTGCATTGTCCTTCTCTGCCTGAAGTGCTTCCAGCTGGAGTCTCAGCACTCTCTGTTCCCGGTTGCATCTCTGCCTCTCCTCAGAGTCCTTCAGTGATAATACATATTCTTTGTTCAGTGCCACCTGCATACCAAGCTCTGTTCTAAACATTTCATGTGTATCGTTTTCATTTTATCCAATGAAAACCATATGGGGTAGTTGCCATTTTACTTTTCCAAATCTGGTGGTTAGATTTGGAAACTGGATCAGAGGAGTGACCTAACCTGCCCAAATTCACATAGCTAGTGAGGGACAGAACTGAGATGACACACACCTTCAATGGTTCACTGTCATTCTTAGGGTAAAGTCCAAATTCAGAGGCATGGCACACACTGGTCTCTTTAGCCTCGCCTCTGACCTTGCACGTACCAGGCCCCACCAATGGACAATCTGCAATACCTAGACTATGCCATTGCTTCCTTCTGGACTTTTGCTCATACGGTATCGTCCTCAGAACATATTCTCACAACCCCCATGGACACAAGTTTTGTTTCTTAATTCGTTCAAGCAAGTTCCTCAATGCCTATATGTGATGGGTACAACCTGCCTAAGCAGAGCTCAGTCTAGTGAATTCCTCTGGCTGATTTGTTTTTTAAGTCTCAGCTTGGATGCTTCTGTGATCCACTTCAACCTGGGTCAGGCACACCTTTTTGTTCCCAACAAGCCCTTAGCTCCCTGCATCACAGCACTTAGGACTGGAAATCACAAAGCTGTGAGGACCATGAGAGGGTATGGCCCAGTCTGTTGTGATTGAGGGTGGATCACAGTCCACAGCACAGTGCCTGAACCAATTAGAAACCTCGGGTCCTGGGTGGCCCAGGTGGCTCAGCGGTTTAGCGCCGCCTTCAGCCCAGGGCCTGATCCTGGAGACTCAGGATCCTGTCCCATGTCGGGCTCCCTGCATGGAGCCTGCTTCTCCCTCTGCCTGTGTCTCTGCCTCTCTCTCTCTCTCTCTCTCTCTCTCTCTCTCTCTCTCTCTCTCTCTCTCCTTCTCATTAATAAGTAAATAAAATCTTAAAAAAAAAAAACCTCAAGTCCCCTACTTGGCCCTCCTCACCTCCTTTTCAGCCTCCAGGCCTTTGACCTGGTCACCTGCCACCTTCTCCTGTTCCAAATGCTTCAGTTCCTCTTGGATCCGTATTTGGTGCCATTCATGCCATCTCTTCTTCCGTGCCTGAGCCAAGAAGAACTGCAGGGCCACATCTGGGGCCTGCCAGGCCCAGGTCAGAAGCCCATATGTGTCCACAGCCTTGGGACTTAGGCCCAGCTTTTCAACAAGAGAATCCCACTACCAGGGCTGCTCTGAGAACTATATCTAGGACCTCACTGGCCTTTAAGAGCCTGTAGCCTGGACAGAGACTTGGAGGCCATGGGGAGAAAGGAGAGGTGTTGGCTCTGCCAATAGGTGGTGCAATGGAGGCTTTAGGGATCCTATACCTCTAATGTGACCCAGTAGGAAAAGAGCCTTCCCATGTCCTTCCCTTAGGAATCACATAGCCTTTCAGATCTCCATATTTCCCCCTGTTGCTGAGGCAGGGAAGCAGTAGACATATTAACTGAGCTCTGCACCTCTTTACTCCCCCAACAGCTTCCAGCTTTTCTGGGATACCTGGGGTATTACCGGTTCCTCAGAGTCCCTAAGAGGATGATTTTGATGAAGCCCAGATCCCAGAGATGACGTTATTCCTACCACCAGCAGAAAACGTGGTTAAGCCTGGTAAAGGTGGAAAAGATGCCCAGCTCCACCCCAAGCCCCAAACCCACCTTTGGACTCTCCCTGGAAGTCTAGGCTGTAACTTGCTGTTGAATCTATCACCTGATGAAAATACAGTAGGAGTGGGAATTCCATACCCTTCCTCCCAGGACAGTGTGCATTAAGCTCAGGGCTTTGAAATCAGATCCGGGTCCCAGGCCCTCCTTTACTCAGCTATGTGGCCTCAGACAGGTAACTAGTCCTTTGAATCCATGTAAAATAGAGCTGATAGAAGTTGTAGAGAGCATGAAATAAGAGAAGGCATCCAAAGCACTAAGTAGTGGTAGGCACTGCTTAGTGAATGGGAGCTTATATGCCTTATTCCCAAAGCTCACCACTGTAAAAGTTGTAATTATGAAAAGGGAAGGACCAGGAGAAGGTTCGCGGAGCAGCATTCCAGCCACACTGTGGCAAATCCTGGAAAACAGTGCCCCCTTATGCACAGGAGAGGCCATGCACTCTAAACAGATGCAAAAGTACTATATTGAGTCAAAGCACTCAGGGGTTTTTGCCCCTCTGCTATCTTTGATTTTATCAGTGACCCTGAGGTACTCAGACCCCTTCTCTGAGCCTCAGTTTGCTCACCTGAAAAATGTGAGCAATGTTGTCTTCTATGGCTTCCCCATTGACCTTCAAGATGAAGTCCAAACATCTCAGTAAATTTACAAAGCTCTTTATGACCTGGCCCCCACTTCACTGTTTTTTCTTACTTCATTCTTTCATCCTTCTCTCTTAACTCTTCCTCAAATTATTCTTCAGCAAAATGAGCTGCTTTCAGTCCCCCAATGAGATCAAGCTCTCACTTATTTCTAAAACATTGTTATTTTCTGTTCCTGGAATGTTCTTGATTCATTTTTCCTGGCTACCTCCTTCAGGAGTCAACTTCCTCCATGAAATATTCCTTCCCTCTCTTGCCAAGACTAGCTAGATGCCCCATAGAACCCTGTGTTGATAAGGCCTTCAGAGAACTGATCACAATGTTACAACCGTTTCTTCCCAGAAGACTGTAAAATCCATGAGGACAGGGATTTCCCAGGGTCTACATAGCACTATGCCTGACAAGTACTGAGAATTCAGTCAGTGTCTGAGAATCAATAAATTAGCGAATGAAGGAAGAGCCTCCTCATGATGCTTTGTAAACAGGAGAGGAAGGAAGACATCAGTGGGGCTCCTAAGAGGTTGAATGAGACCTACCTGTAGTTTTGGGAGCTCCACAGCCTCAGCTTTGACCCTTTTGAGTGGCTGGCTTCCTGGGCACTGACTGCAGGCTTTTATCACCTGTGGAGAGAGGGTTCAGGGTAGGCTCCAGCTATTGCTCTCCCAGGTGCCTCCAGGCCTCACCTTACTTACCTGCAACTCTCGAAGTGCCCTGCCCAACTGGCTGAGCCCGCTGTCTGTCAGGTTGTCTCCAAGGAGGCCTGAACGCAGGCTCTTAAGGCCAGCCCGGTGGGCCCGGGCCTCTTCTACTCCGTCCCACAGGATGGGCCTCACCTGTTTCACCTGCATCCTCCTTTCCTCGGCCCCCAACAGAGCAGCCCAGAGCAGGCTCAGGGAGCCACCTAGTAAAGGGAGACCCAGAGTGAATCACACCTTCTGGATTCCAAAGCATACTGCCTGTAATGCTTTTAATTTTTATTAATAGCATTATTTATAAAAATAGCTAATACCTATCAGGCATTTACATGTGCTTGATGGCACTGTGCTAAGGATTTTCATGGATTGCCTCTTTTTATCCACATAACACTCCAATGAGGCAGCAACTCTAATTTATTTTACCCCCACATTTTCCAGATGAAGCAAATGAAACTCAGAGAAGTCAAGTGACTTCCTGGTGAGTAGCAGAGTTGAAACTTAAGTCCAGTTCTGTCTGACATTAAAGCCTGTGTGCTTAATCATGATACCAAACTGGCCTGTCCTGCACTGCATTATCCTTGAGGGCATAAACTACCCTAATTTATTCTCCTTACTCCACAGGGCCTGGCACAGTGCATGGTCTGGGAGTATATTAGCCAAATTAATGTGGTTGTTAGTTCTGAAGACAGAGAGCCAGGCTCTTTTAAAAAAAAATGCTTTTATTATAGAAAATTTCAAACATAAACAAGGTACGGGGAACCCAAGCTTCAATCACCAGGCTTCAATAATTATCAGCTCTTGGCCATTCTTGTTTGATCTCTACCCTCCACTTGACCTCTCTGACATCTCTAACATCATATCATTTCACAGAAGCCTGATTTTTAATAAGTGTGTGCAAATAGGCAAGTTCTTTCCCCTCTCTGATCCTCCCTTTCCTCATCTAAGCCTTCCTCTCTTTCCTCATCTAAATTAGATGTGTCTCATGGGGTTGTGGTCAAAATAAACAATATTAGTGTAAAAATGCTTGGTAAATCATTGAAAGTCTCTACAGGGTGAAGGGTTGCTTTTACTATTGGCCTGCCTCTCCAGACTTTGGCAACCTAGCCATCCTGGGTCTTTCTGAATCCTGGCCCTCCCAGAGGGTCAGGCTCTCTCTGAACTGGGGTTGGAGCTGCAGCTGATTTGATGAGAGGGTTGGTCAGGCATAAGAAGTCAGATCCCAGAGCTTCCGAAGAACCCCACACCCTCTCCCCAGGCCACCTTGAGGGTCCAGGCGAAGAAGGAGGCCACTGTAGTTGTTTCCTTCCAGGAGTCGTGAGACAATCCAAGGCAGAGAGCCCTCCACCTCCTCACCAGTAGCCCTACCAGCCAACACCTGCAGCAGGGGGCAATCTCTGCCAGAGGGAGGGAGGAAGAAAGGAGATGTCCACTGATGGCTGGGGGAAGAAACTGGCCCAAATGGCCAGTTAACGGAAAGGCTATTTCCAGTAACTTTTATGTACCACCAGGCAGATTTGCAACCTTGCATAGACCTTTGTTTTATTTTATTTTATTTTTTTTAGATACACCTGGGTGGCTCAGCAGTTGAGCATCTGCCTTTGGCTCAGGGAGTGATCCAGGAGTCTGGGATTGAGTCCCACATCGGGCTCCCTGCGTGGACCCTGCTTCTCCCTCTGCCTGTGTCTCTGCCTCTCTGTGTGTGTGTGTGTGAGTGTGTCTCTCATGAATGAATATTATTTTTTTAATTACATAATACATTCTCATAGTACAAAAGTTAATTTATCTATCTGATAAGGGACTTGGATCTAGAATATTTAAAGAACTCTTAGGCCCCAGTAATAAAAGACTAATCACCTAATTTAAAATGGCAAAGCAAGGTGACATCCACAAAAATGGCAGAGTAGGGAACTCTGAGAGTCTATCCTTTTCCAGAAACATCTGGCAAAATGGTCAGAATCAACCTTACTGGAACCAACCTTACTGGACAGTCAAAGGTGTACAGCAACCAAATGAATGCTTCACCAAGAGAAAAGCAACTTACATGTATTGAGATCTTTGTTGTGTTTTAGCTCACCCTAGCCCCAACCTCCTTCCCAGCACAGAGGTGGTCTTGAAGATAACAGCTCACATTTCTGGTGGAGGTATTTGACTCTGGAGGGAGCTGAGCAGATCTTGTTTCCAAGGAATTATGTTTGTTGTTTTGACTCTCTTGGGTTTTCCCCCAGAGCACTGACAAAAAGGGCTTCCCTTTGTCTCACTTACTTTGGAACTCTCTCCCAGGGCAGAACAGCTATGCTAGGGGACAGTTGCTCAAAACATGCGTGAAAGATGAAAGAACAAGCAAAAATAGCAGTTGGAGCAAACAACAGATGCACAGAAAGACTGAGAGAAAAAATTGGGGACTGAGATATGGGGGGAATAATTTACCCAGTGCACTAAGGAAAACAGAAAGCCATGCACATGCCCAGGGCAGGGTGCATGCTGAGAAGATCATAAGTTTTCATTTCTGGCTGATTTTTAAGCTCAGTGCAAGCAGGAAATAAGGCTAAGGCAGAGCTAGAAATGGACTGGCTAAGCATAGAAGGACTGACTCAACCCAGAGCCAATCTGTGGAAACAGAACTTTTTTTTTCTTTTCTTTCTTTCTCTTTTTCTTCTTAAATAAAAAAAAAGTTTTAAGGAAGCAGTTTAAGGAATTCTGTATCATATCACTAGCGAACCACTGAGATAAGAGAATGGAGACTTCAGTGATCACCAAGAAAAGGGTGTTTGCAAAAATTGTTTGGAAAAGTAACTAAGCAAGCAGAGAGAGCTGTGGCCCATGGCAAGCAACAATTCCAATCCTAGAGATGATGGAGAATCTGGCTTTCAGAGTTACTACATTATCACACCCAGAATGTGAGAGCATTAAGGAAATGAAATGGAGACTTAACAGACCAGTGCAATATAGAATATAATCGTTACAAAAAAAATGTTCTCAAATTGGCTAGTTTCCAACCAAAAAAAAAAAAAAAATCAGGCATACAAATAATCAAGAATATATGGTCCACTCCCAAGGAAAAAAAATAACAGAAACTTTCCTGAGGAAATACACTGGATTCACTACACAAAGACTTTAATTCAACTATCTTTTTTTTTTTAAGATTGTATTTATTTGTTCATGAGAGACACAGAAAGAAGCAGAGACAGGCAGAAGGAGAAGCAGGCTCCATGCAGGGAGCCCAATATGGGACTCAATCCTGGAATCCCAGGATCATACCCTGAGCCTAAGACAAACACTCAACCACTGAGCCACCCAGGCGTCCCTAATTCAACTATGTTAAATATGCTCAGAAAACTAAAATCAGGAAAATTATGTCTCAATAAATAGAAAATATAAATAGAAGCATAAAAATTATAAAAAGGAACCAAGTAGAGAGGTGCCTGGCTGGCTTAGTTGGTAGAGCATGAGGCTCTTGATCTTAGGGTCATAAGTTTGAGCCCCACTGTGGGTGTAAAGCTTACATAAAAAATAAAATAAAATATAAAATAAAATGAGGGGCATCTGGGTAGCTCAGTTGGCTAAGCATCTGCCTTCAACTTGGGTCATGATTCCAGAGTCCTGGGATTTTTTTTTAATTTTTATTTATTTATGATAGGCACACAGTGAGAGAGAGGCAGAGACACAGGCAGAGGGAGAAGCAGGCTCCATGCACTGGGAGCCCGACGTGGGACTCGATCCCGGGTCTCCAGGATCGTGCCCTGGGCCAAAGGCAGGCACTAAACGGCTGCGCCACCCAGGGATCCCGAGTCCTAGGATTTTGAGCCATATATCAGGCTCCCTGCTCTGCGAGGAACCTACTTCTCCCCTCCCACTCCCCCTGCTTGTGTTCCATCTCTCTCCAAATAAATAAATAAAAACTTTAGAAAATAAAAAATAAGGATGCCTGGGTGACTCAGTGGTTGAGCGTCTGCCTTCGGCTCAGGATGTGATCCCGGGGTCCTCGGATCCAGTCCCACATCAGGCTTCCTGCATGAAGTTTGCTTCTCTCCCTACCTATGTCTCTACTTCTCTATGTGTGTCTCTCATGAATAAATAAATAAATTTTTTTAAAATAAATAAAAATAAAATAGGAACCAAGTAGAAATTCTGGAGCTGAGAAGTACAGTAACTGAAATAAAAAATTCCCTAGAGGGCAGAATTGAGCAGGCATAAGAAAGAATCTTGGCAAAGTTGAAAATAAGTCAAATAGAATTATGCAGTGTGAGGAGCAGAAAAAAATAAATGAAGGAAAATGAACCCAAGGGCCCAGTGAATGCATCAGGTGTATAAACATACACAGAATGGAAATCTCAGAAGGAAGAGAGAGACAAGGGGTCAGAAAGATTATTCAAAGAAATAATCTTCAAATATTCCCCAAATTTTATGAAAGACATGAGTCTATCCAAGAAGCTCAACAAATTCCAAGAAGGATAAATACAAAGAGATCATGCTAGGACACATTATAACCAAATTGTCAAAAGCCAAAGAGAAAATCTCATTATGTACAAATGATACTCCATAAGACCAATTTCTCATCAGAAATTATGGAGTCCAGGGGACCCCTGGGTGGCTCAGCGGTTTAGCCCAGGGCGTGATCCTGGAGTCCTGGGATTGAGTCCCACATGGCTCCCTGCATGGAGCCTGCTTCTCCCTCTGCCTGTTTCTGCCTCTCTCTGCCTCTCTCTCATGAATAAATAAATAAACTCTTTAAAAAAAAAAAGAAATTATAGAGTCCAGAAGGCAGTGAGATGACATATTTAAAGTGCTGTAAGAAAAAGCCTGTCAATTCTATATCTGGCAAAATTATCATTCAAGAATGTGGGAGAAATTAAAGTGTTCCCAGATTAGTAGGAGCTGATGGAATTCATTGCTAGTAGAACTGCCTAACAAGAAATGCTAAAAGAGGGACACCTGGGTAGCTCAGTGGTTGAGCATCTGCCTTTGGCTCAGAGCGTGATCCTGGGGTCCTGGGATCCAGTCCCACATCGGGCTCCCCACAGAGAGCCTGCTTCGCCCTCTGCCTATGCCTCTGCCTCTCTCTGTGTGTCTCTCATGAGTAAATAAATAAATTCTTAAAAAGAAAGAAATGCTAAAGGAAGGAGTCCTTCACTGTGTCAGTGGTGAAGAAAGGAGACTCTGGGGCTGCTCTGGGTCCCTACATCCATCCTTCCAGGGTCTTTTCACTCTGAAAGAGAGTGAGCATGAGCAAGGGTAGTGGGAGACAGAGAGAGAGAGAGAGTCTCAAGCAGACTCCCATTGACTGCAGAGCCTGACATTGGGCTTGATCCCATGACCCTGAGATCACAACCTGAGTCAAAACCAAGAGCCGGTCGCTTAACTGACTGGGCTATATTTCAGCCCCCACGCCCCCACCACCACTCCCTAGAGGTCAGAAGCCTCCATGAGACTTACAGGGCTCTGGGCAGCTGAAGGATCCTCAAAGCCCCTCGCCACATGCCCTGGGTCCCAGGCCCCTCAGGAGGATCAGGCCCTGGGCAAGATATGGTGACAGTGAGCAGAGAGCAGGCCCTGTGGAGGAGAGTGTAGCATCAGGCCAAATACCTAAGGGATGGGTGTGGAGGGTGACAGGTGCCCTCCTGGCCTCACCTGCCTTCATCCCCTGCAGCCTGCAAGTACAGCTCTGAGGCAGCTCTTGAGTCAGACACTTCCACCTCGCTAGCATCTTCCACCACCCTGAAGGAAGGGGAGGCTGAGCTCAACTCCGACCAGAGTTCCGTCCAGCCTCACAGAACCTCTGCATGTGGGTCGATAGGGGTCCCAAGAGCGTGTCAGAATCAGCCCCAAGGTTCCAAACTCATTATATCCCCTAAAAGCCTCTCATCTTCATGATTTCTTTTCTCCTCCTGTCATCTGTCCAGTGAGGGAAACAGGCTAGTTGGGATTGCCCCCATTTTACAGATGGAGAGACTGAAGTTCTGCTCATTGATGCTCAAATCTCCCAGGAGAATAATGACTGAGTTGAAGAGGCGTAGATGGATAGGGTAAGAAGAGTGAGAGGGTTGGGGTTATGGGATGCAGGGAAGAGGATGAGAGGGCGTGATAAGCATGACCCCAAGTATGTGGCAGTGGAGAGAAACCTCCCAGGTCTGGGTTTGAGGGTGTCAGCCCTGCTTTGAGACAAGCATCCTCAGATCCCATTGGGCCCTGGACACTCACAAGCCCAGAGGAGACACATTGAGCACGGACAAGTTCTCTGTCCCTGGAGAGAGCAGGTCCTGAGTCCTCCCACTAGGGCTGAGCTGGAATCACGCAAGCACAACACTGATTACAAATAGAGCCTTTCCCAGCTCCAGCTCACATGACCCTCCCACTGGGGCCCTGGGGGCCAAGCAGGGCACCAAAATTCAGCCATCAGGCAGGAAAAAGGAGACCTTGGAAGGCAAGCGCACACTGGTGAGCAGCAGAATAAGGCTTGGCTCAAGCTCTTCTGGCTCCTCACAAGCCTCGGGCTCTTTCTGCAGCACCTCGGGTGCCTTGGCTCCCAGGTCTCCCCTCCCTGCAGGGTCTCACCTGCACCAGGCTAAGGGTAACAAGCACAGGATCAGGGCCGCTGTGCGGCTGAGCTTCCTCAAACAGCATCTGCAACAGCTAAAGTGGAGAAAGGAGTTCAGCAAGGATAAAGAAAGGATTAATCTGTATTTCAACATTTCCTGAGGGTGAAGTCTGCACCCAGTTCTATGCTAGGTGCTGCGGACACGGAGTCCAGGACAGAAGTAGCCCCAGTGCTCGTGGTTCACAGCAAGCCAAATGAGTAAACGTTTTCAGTGAGACCTGCTGTTTCTTGTGGTAGGGGCGGATGACAAGTTTCTGAGGTAGCTATTTTGATTTGGGGGCATTTTCACAAGGCCCTGAAAACAAAGCTTTCAAGTTTATTATCAGTATTATGAAAAAGTGTGAAGATTAGACCTCCCTGGATATTTGATCTCTGCATACCACTCCTCCCTAACCTTTACCCCATGGGCCCCAGCCTCCCACCTTCCCCGACCTCTCAATTGCTGCCTAGGTTGGCCCTGGCAAAACATTTCTGTATGAACCACAATGTGCTATAGGAACCCCAGAAAGGGTAACGTAATCCAGCTAGGGAGAGGAAGGGAAGTTTGTCAAAAGTATCCTGGAGAAAACAGCACCTGAACCTCATGAGACCTATGCATGGTGGCTCCTCTGGGACTCACCTGAGGTACAAGCCGGGGTGTTTCTGTTTCCCGACCCCGAAGCAGTAGGGCCACACTGTACCCTTGGGCTACCAGGCCTAGTGTGGACTGGACTCGTGCCAGCAGCTCCTGCTCAGCCTCCTGCAGCGGACACAGAGGAATCCCCCAATCTCAGGTACCCTGACCCAGCCTGCCTGAGTAAAGGGCTTGGGAAGCACTCAGCACTCCAGGGTCCAGGAGTCTGAGAGCTCCCACCCTCTTCCCAGCTCCTTACAACCCCCCCCATACACACCTACCTGAGCAGCATCAGAGCCCAGGACTCTGTCAAAGGTGATGCATTGTTCCTGTGGGGAGGGCTAGGCTCAACATTGTCATTCCCATCTTCCCCTGCCCTCACCCGCACCCTATTCCATTTTTACCTGAGTGTCTAGAGTGCCCGGCTGAAGCAGACGGATGCTCTTGGACCCCTCCAGAAGGAGTGTGGGGTAACAGGTCTCCTCAGGGCCTGAGAAAGATGGACTATATATCAACTCTCATGGGGGAAACTGCCAGGACTCCTAGGTCCTGCCCTCAACTTTGGCCTCAGTTTCCTAACCTGGAGTACTTGGTACAGGATCAGAGCCCCCGAGAAGCAGAGCTTCCTCAAAAAGAGCATCTGCAGCAGCTAAAGCAATAAAATGACATCTTCCTTCCCTTCTTCCGAGAGGCTCCCTCGGGCTGCATTACCTCTAAGAATGAATGTGTAAGGACCTCCTACCTGATCCTCTTCCCGGTTCTACTTCCACCACCACAGTCAGCCTGGCCTGGGGGTTGTCCATGAGGGCTGGGGGTACTGAGCTGCCCTAGCCCAAATGGCCCCTGTGCTTGCTCCCTCTCCTCGCTCAATAGCTTCCATGCCTCTCAGATTCCCCTCAATAATTCATCTCCCTGATCTGAGGGCTCTGGGTAGGGCTTCTAAATAACAACAAAAGAGGTGACAGTCCCCTCTTTTTTTATTTTTTTATTTTTTTTAAGATTTTTTATTTTTTTTAATGTTATTTTATTTATGATAGGCACACAGTGAGAGAGAGAGAGGCAGAGACACAAGCAGGCTCCATGCACCGGGAGCCCGACGTGGGACTCGATCCCGGGTCTCCAGGATTGCGCCCTGGGCCAAAGGCAGGCGCTAAACCACTGTGCCACCCAGGGATCCCTCCCCTCTTTTTTTAAAAAAAGATTTCATTACTTGAGAGAGAGAGAGCCGAGTAGGGGAGGGGCAGAGGGAGAGGGACAAGCAGACTCCCCAATGAGCATAGAGCCCAACATGGGGCTGAATCCCAGGACCCCAAGGTCATGACCTGAGCCAAAGTTAGATGTGTAGGCGACTGAGCCACCCAGGTGCCTCAACAATCCCCTCTTTTCTGAGTGAGTCAGAATATTACATCAGATTCTGCTTTTTTTCCTCTTTTGAAAAATGTCAAACACATACAACTGTAGAGAGAATAGTATGATGATTCTCTGAATACCTAGCCTCAGTAATGATCAACTTATGGCTAGTCTTATTTCTTCTGTTCTCCCCATCCCCCAAAAAACCCTGTGGGTTTTTTGAAAGCAAATCCTAGACACCTTTTATGTCATCTATAGCTATTTCAGCTTACATTTATAGACGATAACCACCTTTTTAAAACAATGATGGCTTAGGGACGCCCGGGTGGTTCAGTGGTTGAGCGTCTGCCTTTGGCTCAGGGCGTGATCCTGGAGTCCTGGGATGGAGTCCCACATTGTGCTCCCTACATGGAGCCTGCTTCTCCCTCTGCCTATGTCTCTACCTCTCTCTGTGTCTCCCATGAATAAATAAAAACAATCTTAAAAAAATATATGGCTTAATTTGGTGAGGATGCGGAGAAAGGGGAACCCTCTTACATTGTTGGTGCGAATGCAAACTGGTACAGCCACTCTGGAAAATAGTACGGAGGTTCCTCAAAAAGTTAAAAATAGAGCTACCCTGGGATCCCTGGGTGGCGCAGCGGTTTGGCGCCTGCCTTTGGCTCAGGGCGCGATCCTGGAGACCCAGGATCAAGTCCCACGTCAGGCTCCCGGTGCATGGAGCCTGCTTCTCCCTCTGCCTGTGTCTCTGCTTCCCTTTCTGCATCTCTCATGAATAAATAAATTTTAAAAAAAAAGAGCTACCCTACGACCCAGCAGTTGCACTACTAGGTAATTTATCCAAAGGATACAAACATAGGGATTCAAGGGGACACATGCACCCCAATGTTCACAGCAGCAATGTCCACAATAGCCAAACTATGCAAAGAGCCCAGATGTCTATTGACAGATGAAAGGATAAGGAAGATGTGGGGAATATATATATATGTATATATGTGTATATATATGTATATATGTATGTATATACACGCATAATGGAATATTGCTCAACTATCAAAAAGAATGAAAACTTGTCATTTGCAATGACATGGATGGAACTAGAGGGTATTATGCTAAGTGAAATAAGTCACTCAGAGAAAGACAAATATCATATGATCTCACTCATGTGGAATTTAAGAAACAAAACAGATGAACATAGGGGAAAGGAAGGAAAAATAAGATAAAAACAGAGAGGGAAACAAACCATAAGAGACTCTTAGCTATAGGAAACAAACTGAGGGTCGCTGGAGGGGAGGTAGAGGGGGGACAGGGTAACTGGGTGATGGGCATTAAGGAGAGCATTTGGTGTAATGAGCACTGGGTATTAGATGCAACTGATGAATCGGTAAATTCTACCCCTGAAATTAATAATATACTATATTAGCTAAATTGAATTTAAATTTAAAAAAAAATTTTTAAATTCTTTTATTTATTTATGATAGTCACAGAGAGAGAGAGAGAGAGAGAGAGAGAGAGAGAGAGAGAGAGAGAGAGAGGCAGAGACATAGGCGGAGGGAGAAGCAGGCTCCATGCACCGGGAGCCCAGTGTGGGACTCGATCCCAGGTCTCCAGGATCACGCCCCGGGCCAAAGGCAGGCGCCAAACCGCTGCGCCACCCAGGGATCTCTAAATTTAAAAAATTTTTAATGATTGCTTATCAAGGTGTAATTCATATACCATACAATTTACCCATTTAAAATGTATATCTCAATAGCTTTTACTATCACCATTTTATTTTTTTAAGATTTTTTATTTATTCATTCATGATAGACATAGAGAGAGAGAGAGAGGCAGAGACATAGGCAGAGGGAGAAGCAGACTCCATGCCGGGAGCCCAATGCAGGACTTGATTCCGGGACTCCAGGATCATGTCCTGGGCCAAAGGCAGGCGCTAAACCGCTGAGCCACCCAGGGATCCCCTACTATCACCATTTTAGAACATTTCCATCACTTTATAAAGAAACTTGGTTTCCTTTATTATCACCTCCTAACCCCACCCTACTACATTCACTAAACAACCATTAATCTATTTTCTGTCTCTATAGATTTGCCTATTCTGGACATTTCATATAAAAGGCATCACACAGCTTGTGTTCTTTTTGTGACTGGCTTCTTTCACTTAGCATAATGTTTTCAAAGTTCACCCATGCTGTAGCATGCATTAGTACTTCTTTCCTTTCTATGACTGAGTGATTTTTCCACATAGAGATAAAATGACTTCTTTTTTAATATTTTATTTTATTATTTATTTGAGAATGAGATAGAGAGAGCACAGAGTGAGGGGAAGAAGGAGAAGCAGACTCCCCGCTGAGCAGGTAGCCAAATGCAGGGCTCAATCACCCACCCCGAGATCAGGACCTGAGCTGAAGACAGATGCTTAACTGACTGAGCCGCCCAGGTCTGGAGATGAAATGACTTCTTTTACCATCTGTGCAGAGTTTGGCCAAACTTCACAGCTAAGAGGATGTCTCCACTAGTCTCAAACTTGGGCTCCCCCATCCTTCCTTACTCTAACCAGCTAGCAACATTTTCAGGTGTTCTACTATTCCCGCAGGTTCCATAATTTGCTAGAATGACTTACAGAACTTGGGAAGGCACATTATACCTAGCATATCTGACACCATTCTCTGACAGCAACTGGGCATCCTAGAACTATATTTCAACCCAATTTTGGCACCAACTACCTGGAGTTGGCACCAGCTCCCACAAATTAAAATGCAAGGTCCTCAACACAAGACTGTCCTTATTTCTGCTGACAGCCACAGTGGGTGTCCCAAGCTGCTTGCACTACTCTCAGACTTGGCTACAGATTTGGGGGTTCTGATAACTACCCTTCAGGTTCAATAGTTCACTAGAATGACTCACGGAACTCAAGAAGGTGCTCTACTGGGGCACCTGGGTGGCTCAGTGGTTGAGCGTCTGCCTTTGGCTTGGGTCGTGACATGAATAAATATTTTTTTAAAAAAGGTGCTCTACTTATGACTATATTTTATTATAAAGGATACAAATGAACAATCAGATCAAGAGGTACATAAGGCAAGATCATGAAGGGGCCTAAGCATAGGAACTCCTGTCCCTGTGGAGTCAGGATGTGCCACCCTTCCTGTACATCAATGTGTTTACCAACCAGGAACTTCCTGAGCATCACTGTTCAGTTTTGTTGTTCTTGCTTTGAGGGAGAGAGCATGCTCAGGAGCGGGGTTGGGGGAGTGAGGTGGGGGCAGAGGGAGACACACAGAGAGAGAATCTTAAGCAGGCTCCAATGCCCAGCTTGAAGCCTGACATGGGGCTCAATCTCACGATCATGAGCTGAGCTGAAATTAAGAGTTGGATGCTTAACCAACTGAATCACGCAGGTGCCCTAACAGTTATTGTTTTTTAAAGATTCTATTTATTTATTCATGAGAGACACAGAGAGAGAGAGGCAGAGACAGCAGAGGGAGAATCAGGCCCCATGCAGGGAGCCTGATGCGGTACTCAATTCTGGGACCCCAGGATCATGCTCTGAGCCGAAAGGCAGACGCTCAACCCTTGAGCCACCCAGGTGTCCCCCTAAAGAGTTATTTTTAACTGATATTTTATTATGTAGGCATGTTTCATTAAATTACAGGCTATGTGGTTGAACTCAATTCCAACCCATTTATGGTTGTGTTTTCTGGTGAGCCACCTCCTCCATCCTTAAGCTATCTGGACGTCCAGCCAGAAGTCACCTCATTAGCACAGCAGAGAGATTCCTATTATTCAGGAAATTCCAAAGGTTTTTGAAGCTCTGCTCCTTCAACTGGAGATAAAGGCCAGATATATTCTTTATTATATCATAAGCCACTTGGTTTTTCACCAACAATCAGTTACAGCAAAAGGCTCATACCTCCTTGATCATCTATGTTTGGTATAATATTTACATAAGAGAACAATAATAAGAACATGAATATGGTAGTTGTCCCTTATTTATGGAGGGTATATTCCAAGACACCTAATAGATGCCTGAAACCACAGATCGTTCTGAACCCTATGTATACTATGCTTTTCCCTATGCAAACCTATGGTAAAGTTTAAGTTATAAATCAGCTACAGTAAGAGATTAACAACATTGATAACAAAGTGGAACAGTTATAATAATATACTGTAATAAAAATTATGTGGATGTGTTCTTTCTTTGAAAATATCTTATTGTTGGGGCACCTGGGTGGCTCAGTTGGTTAAACATTGGACTCTTCTTTTTGGCTCAGGTCACGATTGGCTCCTGATCTTGGGGTCATTAGATCAAGCCCAATGCCAGGGCTGTGCTAGACATCTGCTTAAGATTTTCTCTCTCTGTCTCCTTTTGCTTCCCCTCCCCCTGCTCACTCACACACACTCTCTCTCTCTCTAAAAAAAAGAAAAAAGAAAGAAAAAGAAAAAAAGTACCTTATTG